ATTGTACTTTATGTAAAATCTCAATTAAATATTCAATAAAGATAGAGGCATGGCCTCACCATTAACATTAAAAAAAAGATTAATAGTAATATATATACCTTTTCTAATATTACTTTTAATTCAATCATCTTATTCTTTAAAATTTTTATATCAGTATTACTGTTATTTAACATTGATTCATACTTATTTATACTTAAATCAATTTCATAATTATTATTATTATGTTCCATTTCAAGATTAGTTAATTCAACATGTATACTATTATTAATAGTTTACCAAGTTGATTATGGGGTTTTATAAAATAATAAATACTAATTATTATGTTATATATTATTAAAAAATGAATTTTCCATATTTTTTAATGATAAAACTAGATACTTGTACAAAAAAAAACCGTTTTTAAGAAATGATTGATATGAACAAATCTAATGTTTATGGTCAATAAAATATTTATTAGAGTTTTTTTAGTTCTTAATCTATATATAAGCTTCTTTCACTCAGTCTTAAAATCTTTTCTTCATAAGAATTGAATCCTTTGACTAACAAGAAGGTTATAATGATGTATTAATCTTAGAAACATTCAATTAATTATAATGTGACAAAGAATATCAAAACATGGATTATTAAATTTATATAAAAAATTATGTTTAAGAATTTTCTAATGTGATTTAATAATCATGGTAATATAAATAATTAAAATACTTTGGTAAGCAAATAGGACCCAAAGGTACTAATGGTTCTATTGATACTATTCTAACCATAAATAATACCAAATATGAAATAAATTATGATGATAACAATATTAAAAATTTTTTTAGTTGCATATAACCAAAGTTCTTTTGATATTAGAAATTCTTTGTCTGTTATGTGAATTAATATATAATGATAAAAGTGTATATCAATATATTCTAATATTTCATTTTATAAAACTGTTTCTAAGAAAACTTTTTTTTAAAGCTTGTATCATTATTTTGTATCAGCTACTATAATGAATCAATTATTGAACATTGTTGATGTGCAATATTAGCATTATAATAAAATAAATTTTATCTATATTGTAAAAAAAGTTTCTGTTCAATCATCTATCACAAATTTTACTTATATAACTAAATTTTAATACTTTCTAAACAACTATATTACTACTAATTTGAGAAAAATTCTTATTAAAAAGAACTATTTTTATTTTCTTAAGTCTATTTTCTTTTAAAAATTTAAACTATATAGTTATTGTTGTATACATATTTTGTTCTTTTCTTGCTTTAATAAAATAATAGGAAATTGAAAACCTGGTTTTATCTATTATTCTTATCAGTATATATAACTCATATTTCAATTGGTTTGTATTATAGATGGCATCAACTATAACTATATTAAATACTTTTTTTAGTAATTTACTAAAAAAACCTATTAAGAAACTTAATATATGTATTGATTTATCCAAATCAATTATAATCTTATAACTTTTTTCACTAAAAAATAACTTTACAGATTCATATTGTTCATTATGTTGTCTATAAAATGCTGATGTTTTCTGAATCCACCAGATTTATTGTCAGATTTTTGAACCCATCAAGTTTTTTTGATACAATTTCTCGATAAAGTTCTGATATTCTAAATACTAAATATTTACAAATATATTGTTTAATTTGTTCTATTATACCAATATATTGTGACTGTTGATGAAGCTGTTTATGACTAAGCTTAATACTTGTATATTGATTTATTAAATTAATAGAAATTAATAAAAGTCTTTCACATTCATATCTGATTAAATATGCTTTAGTATTTTATTGTTTTGAAATATTATTATGTTTTTTATATCTTGAAACAAGTTTTTTATGATAATTAAACCAGTAATAAAATACTTGTCTGTTTTTTTTGTGATATAGATTTAGTACAATATATATAATCATAACTATCTCTCTGCTTAATAAGCTTAATAATTTTATTTATAAGATATTATTTATGTTGATCTTGTTCAATTTCTAATAGAATTTCATTAATTAATTTACTCAAATATGTTGTTATTTCAATATAAAACTTATAATTGACTTCTAAATTTTTATCAATATTGTCTATATTAATAAGAGTTTCATGAATTATTATTGTAATATTTTCTATATCAATTATATTTTCTTTAATAGTGGATAAGATAACAGTGGCATTATCTTTATGTTTTTTATTGTTGTAGTTGTTAATATGTTCTAAGCATTTATGCCAAATTTTTTTTCTACAAAAAGCTACTATTATTTTGTAGATTTGATATGTTTTATAAAATAAAATATCTATTTTAAATTTTTTTTTTTTTATAATACTCAAATAATTAAATTATAGTCAGCAAAATAATTGATATTAACTTTTTATAACATAAATCATGTGAATATTATAAATACAAAATATACTATCAGAATTATTATTGAGTTTAAATGTAACTGATCTTTTGGGTGATGCTTGATTTGTGTTAGAAGGAGGTGATTAATATGATATAGTAATAATTAACAGCTATGTTGATCATCTACCTAATATTGGCTTCTTAGAATTATAGAGCCTAAAAGTTATTTAGAACTATTAGTAAGTAAAAGGATAATAAGAAGAAATAGAGAGAAAATGGATTATATAATAAATACAGGTTTAAGTAATATAGGACATTAAAAAAGTATACATTAAATAATATGTTTAATATATTTAATAGTTGTAGAAGCATATATCTAATAGAACAATATATAATAAAGATTTTGAGTCCTTAAGAACAGTTTGTTTCATACTTATTATAAAATTTACTCCTAATAATTCCTTATTTTATTATATTGTAAAACCTATGATTATAAACACATTATTCTCCAAATCTACTATACTGTTTGTAGGTTATATAACATATCTGTTTGAGAAATGACTAACTTGTCATTTTGCTTATGTCAATATATAAGATGTATTTTAGTTGATTAAAAAGAATATAATAAAATCTGTAGATAAGATCTGCTAATGAATAATCAATATATAGATAGTATCTAATTTGTGATAAATAGTATACAGTCTTCTTACATTTATAGGCCTTAAAAATCGAATAATACTTGATTTTTTTGAAAATCATGAGGCCCAAATCAAAGTGATAATCCCTATCTGATTTGAAGTTATATAAAAAATAATGAAAATGTTATTTCTGTTATTTCTGTTACTTATACTATTTCAATTAGTTATATGATAAATGAAATATCAATCTTTTATTAAATATAATTAAGATATAATGATATTACATTTATGTTAGAAATTAATTACCATGTAAATAAAATGTTTATTATAAATAAAAAGTATTTTTGTCTTGAAATAGAACAGTCCTTTAAAATAAAATAAAAATACAGTTACATACAACTAAGTATCAGACCTTAATAAAATGAAAGTATTACCTATTACAAACTAATAAACTATCATTAATCCTATCCATAATATAATCGTTCAATCATAATTTACTAAAACTGCACATTAATCACTTGTCATACATCATGTAACCAAATTATTAATGTAATAGAAAAGTTCCAACCATGATTCAACATAGTATAATCACAGGTTAAGGTAGACAAAGAGAAGACAAGAGAAGACAAAAAGTTAGTAAAAAAATAGATTGAAAGAAAGACCTAAAGAAAAGACTAGTACTTATCTATAGATAACTACTAACCAAATCTAATATGCTTATTTTAACTTAACCACTATAGATTAAACAAGAATTGGAGTTAAAAGCATGACCTCACTATTAATATTTAAAAAAAAAAACAAGAATTGGATTAGATTAGCACAGACTCACAGAATTACAAATCACAATAGCTTATTCAGCATGCTATCTTAGAGAAATTTGCATGTCACCTGTTATCCACCATTGATTTATTATTATATTGCTTTTTTATTACTCTATAAAAAATAGTGCACAGAATTTCTAGTCAAACACAGGTATGTGACAGTATGTGAGTATACAGAACTATATGAAATACAACATGAGATGGTGCACAAGAAAATGTGCACTGGACACATAAAAAGGCATGAATTACATGCAACAGTGCATGTAATGACATGCTTTTTTATGTGCTTTCCCATGCAATTTTTTGTATAGTTATGTATGTGATCATTTATTATTTCGTGCCATGCACATGAAAAAATTTTGTGCAATTACGTGTTCATCAATTTTGCATGTATGCAGATTCTTTGCAACTGATTTGATTTCCATGCTTTGGACATGCTATATTTCGTGCAGTCATGTGCAATCACGTGTAAAAATTTCCTATAGGATTATATAGTGAGATGCACTAATTCAACGAGTCTGTCACTAATCAAAGGTCAACTTCGTGTAACAGTTGGATGGCTTTCGGTTGAAAAAGGCATGTAGATTTGGTGAGCAAGTTCAATTTGGGTCAGGTTATCCAAGAATAGTCTACACTACGTTGAGACTAATACTCTGCTGGTACTGAAAACTGACTACTTCGGAAATACTGGACTAAACGGGTTGAGATTTTATTACAGGTTCATTCTTTAACAATGATTCTCTACAGTCACTCGTGGACTAACCCTTAATTCGATGCTTGTAGGGTAATGGAATCCGCTTTTTTACTTGAGCCGAATTACATGAATTTTATAACAAACCTATTATTTACTTTTAGGGTGCCGATTCCCATATATCCATCATCACGCTTATAGTGATTATATCGCTAATATCACATATATTGATTATAATGCTTATCGTTATAATCAATATATGCAATATATGCATTATAATTATTATCGGCATTATAATCACGGTTAACGCTAGTAAGAGGACTTCATAGCTGGGAGGGTGTGACTTGTGGACGTACGGCGAAGTTCCCACGCGGACAGTTCTTACGGGCAGTTAGAAACAGTGCGATTCACGTGATATTACCAAAACCACTGACCCTGACTGTTCCTAACTAACTATTCATGTTATTTGAACTGTCTCTAAGAACTGTCCGTAGATTGTCCGGTTCCCACGATGAAATCGGTCACCCATGTGTCACGTGTACCAAGTCTAGCCAATGTGCATTTTTTATAAAATATGATTGATCAATGCTTAGAAATGGTAACGTTGCAAATTCAAATATACTGTAGTTATGATATTCGAGAATTTATTCAAACTGTATGTAATATTTAAATTCCGGTCATGGCTTTCAAGAATTTAGATTGCAATACTCTGAATTACGATTACGGAAAAGCCCCGTTCCTACTATAA